CCTCTCCTCCCACTTCCCTGTTGATAACCCTCCATGTGATCTTCATTTCTGTGGAGTTGTTTGCTTAGTTTGCTTTTGTTTTTGTGTGGTTGTTAATAACTGTCAGTTTGCTGTCTTTTTACTGTTCATATTTTTTATCTTCTTTTTCTTAGATAAGTTCCTTTAACATTTCATATAATAAGGGCTTGGTGATGATGAACTCCTTGAACTTGACCTTATCTGAGAAGCACTTTATCTGCCCTTCCATTCTAAATGAGAGATTTGCTAGGTAGAGCAATCTTGGATGTAGGTCCTTGCCTTTCATGACTTGGAATACTTCTTTCCAGCCCCTTCTTGCCTGTAAGGTCTCTTTTGAGAAATCAGCTGACAGTCTGATGGGGACTCCTTTGTAGGTGACTGTCCCCTTTATCTCTTGCTGCTTCTAGGATTCTCTCCTTCATTTTAATCTTGGCTAATGTAATTATGATGTGCCTTGGTGTGTTTCTCCTTGGGTCCAACTTCTTTGGGACTCTCTGAGCTTCCTGGACTTCCTGGAAGTCTATTTCCTTTGCCAGACTGGGGAAGTTCTCCTTTATTATTTGTTCAAATAACTTTTCCACTTGTTGCTTTTCCTCTTCCCCTTCTGGTACTCCTATAATTTGGATGTTGGAACGTTTAAAGATGTCCTGGAGGTTCCTAAGACTCTCCTCATTTTTTTTTTGACATTCTTGTTTCTTCATCCTTTTCTGTTTGGTTATTTCTTTTTTCCTTCTGGTCCACTCTATTGATTTGAATCCCAGCTTTCTTCCCATCACTATTGGTTCCCAGTGCATTTTCCTTCATTGCACTTAGTGTAGTCTTCATTTTTTTTCATCTAATTTGCCACCAAATTTAACCAATTCTGTGAGCACCCTGATCACCAGTGCTTTGAACTATGCATTTGATAGGTTGGCTATCTATTGGTCACTTAAAAGTATTGGCTCTGGGGCTTTGATTTTTTCTGTTTGAGCCTTTTTTTGGGGGGGGGTCTGGTCACATCTGTTATGTATGAGAGGGTGGAGCCTTAGGTGTTCACCAGGGCAGGGCAACCCACGTTGCTGGGTTGTGATGCTGTATGTGGGAGCGGGGTCAGAGAGGGAACAATGGCGCTTGCTCAGCTCTCTGTCAGACCTCAGTCCCTTCCACCACTTCCCCTAAGCAAACTGGGCCTTTCTGGTGCTGATTCCTCCTGTGTGGGTGAACTTGTGTACATTCTAGGACCCTGTGGATCTCTCCAACGACCTCTTCTGTGAGGCTGGGAGTCTCCCACGGTGCCTCAACCCCCACAGGTGTTTTCAATTGGTGTTTTGAGGCTTTATTTCCCCAGTGCTGGGATCCTGGGTTGTGCGGTCTCACTCGCTAATTTCACGTGGTTTATCTGTGCACGAATGTAGGACTGCTGCCCAGTCAGCCATCCACATTGTGCACAGTGCCTCACTTCACAATCATCACCTCGCTGGGTCTGCCTTTTGCCACCTCATGCCTGTGGTCAGCCAGCCACTGCCTGCACGTCTGGGGTCTGCCAGTCACTATCTGGGTGCCCAGGGTCTGCCCACTGCCATCTTGCAGGCCCGGGTGCTTTGCACACCGGTGCCACTGCTTTTTGTGCCTCGACCCCTCTCCAGCCAGTCGCCGGACTGTGCCCTGACTACTGGTCTGGATGAATGTGTCTATTTTATCTTCTTGGTTGTCCAACTTCCATACATTTCAATTTTCTGTCAGTTCTGGTTGTTATTTTGTTTCTAAATTGTTGTCCTTATTTTGGTTGTGTGAGGAGGCACAGTGTATCTACCTATGCCTCCATCTTGGCCGGAAGTCCAAGTTTTCAATTTCCTGCTCTTCCACTTCTGCTCTGGCACCCCTGTGATTCAAGTGTTGGTATGTTTGAAGTTGCCTCAGAAGTCCTTAGCCTATCCTTTTTTTATTTTTATTTTTTCTTCTTGTTTTTCTGATTGAATGCTTTTTTTCTTCTTATATTCAAAATCATTGATTTGATTCTCAGCTTCATCCACTTTACTGTTGGTTCCCTGTGAATTTTTCCTTATTTTACTTAGTGTAACCTTCGTTTCTGGGTCTTTTTTATGCTGTTGAAGTACCCAATGAGTTACTTGAGCATCCTGATAACCAGTGTTTTGAACTCTGCATCTAATAGCTTTCTTTTCTCTATTTTGTTTAGTTCTCTCTCTTTTTTTTTGGTGTTTTATTCTGTTCTTTCATTTGGGCCATATTTCTTTGTCTTTTCGTTTTGACAGTCTCCCTGTATTTGTTTCTCTGTATTAGGTAGAGCTACTCTGACTCTCTATCTTAGTAGCATGGCCTATTGTAGAAAAGCATACTGGGTAAGTTGGCTGGGGTGGAGCCTTAGGTGGTCACCAAGGCAGAGCAACCCATGTGAACCAGCTTAATGGAGTCTCAGATATGGCATCTCCATTCTGTGGCTCTGTGTGAGGGAGGGCTCCAAAAAAAGACAATGCCACTGCCTGGCCTCTGGAGTTTTGTCCAGGAGGAAACCATTGTTCCCTAGCAGTTGCCCTGATGCCAGATACTTCCATTACTCCCTGTATGCCACTGGTGCCCTTCCAGCTGCTGTCCTGGTGCTGAAGCCCAGAGGGAGTAAGTCTTCATACACCCTAAGTCCATTGTGGGCCCTTTAAGAAGAGATTCCTGAGAATCCTACAGTTTCTTCTGCTGTCCTCACCCCACTGATTTTTACAGCCTGAAGTTATGGGGACTTATCTTCCTGACACTGAAACCTTAAGCTGGGTGGTCTGGTGTGGGATTGGGATCTCTCACTCCTTAGGTATGCCTCCCAATTCTTATCCCCCATACATGAATGTGGAACTGCCTGTTCAGAGTGCCTGCATCTCTGCCCCCTCTGCCCATCAGGATGAATGTGACTTCTTTAATTCTTTGGTTGTCAGAGTTCTATACAGCTTGATTTTCTGACAGTTCTGGGTGATAGTTGTTTTGTAGTCTAGTTGTAATTTTTTCCATGGTTATGCAAGGAGGATTGCCATGTTTACCTACACCTCTATCTTGATGGGAAGTCTGCATCCCATATGTCTTTAATGTTGTGTTTTCTTTTTTATTTATATTAAGATAGTTTCTAATTTCCTTTGTTGTGCTTAGACTTTCTATAGGGGGTAACATTTCTATATTATCACTGGATTAATTTCAGAGAGCATTGGCCCCTGGATTTATGCTTATACCTTTAGAGAGTAATTTCTGAGGAACAGAGGAATATTAGTGGCTGGCGAAGAAGGGTTACCATTTAAGCTGCAGCTTTTGAAGCCACCCTGTGGCCTGTGTTCTTTTAAACCAGTGGTTCTCAACTAGGGGTAATTTGCCCTTCAAGTGACATTGGCAATGTCTATACACATTTTTGGTTGTCATAACTGAGGTAGGGGGTAGTGTGCAACTGTCATCTAGTGGATAGAGACCAGGGATGCTGCTAAACATCCTATAGTACACAGAGCATCCCCTCACAGAAAAGAGTTATATGCTCTGCAATGTCAATACTGCTGCAATTCAGAAACCTTTTTTATCCCCTTAAGTTGATGGGAGTGTTTCCTACTCACCCAGCACCTACTTGTACAGTGTTTTACTACCTCTTCACAATGGTTGCCTGAGGTAGGTGAAATACCACAAATTTTGATGAGGTGAGCAAAGCATTAAAGCTGAAGCAACCTGCTAGCCAGTAGCAAAGCCTGGATGTTCACACTTCGGGTGGATTGTTTTCCAAAAAGCCCACAGCTACCTGGGCTCCACTTGCTTTGTCCATTTGACCTTTGGAAAGCAGGCCATCATGCATTTGTCTTGTGAGTATATGTCTGGCATATTGATAGGCTCAGGGGCTTCTCCTAGCTAAGAATGCTTCACATTGTCCTGTAATCCCTCACTTTATGGTTTAATGCCCCCCTCTACAAATACAGTGGAAACTCCCCATGGGCAACATGGCATTTGGCATGGAGTATACATTCAATAAATTTTTTTGAAGGAATTAGGCAATATGAGAGAAAAATGTTAGCTTGGTTATCTCTAGGAGCTCAAAATGGAGGTTGTAGCTGCCTCCAAAGAGGCTAGGAAATGTGGCATGATCCTAGGACTAAACTAGGGGGAAGAGAAATTGTGGGTATGTTCATTGGTTGTTTTGCCCATGGCATTTAATTGGTTTGTCACGAATAATACACTGGTAAGCATTCTTTCCTTTATTAAATTCCTTATATTTTAGCTTCCTTTTCTCATTGAATTGTTCATACTAGCATCTTTTACTTATGAAAAGATCAGTTTTAACCTTTTTAAAAAATTCAGTGTTCTCAGATTTTGTTCCCTAAAGGTCTTATCAAAAACATAACTTAAAAAATCTTTTCTGATGTTTGACATCAGTTTTTGTTAAATTATTCTGGCATTGCATCTCTACAGTAAGTTCTCAACATCATTGAGAGGCTCTGTGACTTTGAGTGAAACAATGTATAATAAAACTAATTTTACCACAGGATAATTGATATGAACAAGAGTTATATTTCTATAGCATCTCATTAACATGATAACAAAACAATGTTAAACAAAATGACATAATTATTTGAAGACCTGCTGTATGTATTAAGTTAGCTGGTCTCCGTTTTTCCAACCATAAAGTGAAAATAATGATCCTTTGGTAGCTGAGAACTTCCTTGAGGATAAAATGATTTAAAGCACACAAAATCATTCTCAACAGTACTGTGTAGATCTCAAGGCCCTTCCAGTTATGGGTAACTCTGAAAATTTGTATTTGAGTAATACATTACAACTAGTTGTGATGCAATTATAAAAGTAGTCTGCTAGAATGAAACAAAGTACATTCAGACTTTGTTCTTCCTACTTACACTGCTAGCCTGAGTAAATGGGATTTTTTTCTAGTAATTTGATAAAAAGATCTAAAGGTATATTTTACCTTGGATTGTCCTGACAATTACAATACTTTGACCTTTGTTTCTTCACAGGTGTTACAGAACATCCTGGACACTGAAAAAGATTATGCTAAAGAACTTCAGTCTCTTCTTGTCACTTACTTAAGACCGCTGCAGTCCAATAACAAGTAAGGTTTATATTTGAAACTCCTCACTAAATAAAACAAGATAACATCAGCATATGGAGTCATTACTCTCATGTCACTGAATAATTGATTTTGCCCTTTAGAAGAATTTCCACAGATCTCAGGTTGCTAAGAACATGATCGAGTCAACAGAAATTATGCAAGATGTTGCTTTTGGAGAGGTTTGCTTTCTTTCTGTTCTGGCCGTGGAAGGGATCGGAAGATCTGCATTTCTGCCTGTCACCATTTTTATCTTGTATATTTTAAAAGCACTATATCTGTTTTTACCTTACAAGAAAAGGACATGCTGGTGTTTTTATGCAGAAAGCACATAAGATGAAAATTCTTGTGCTCACTCTGACCTTTGCTTGCCAGGGCAGAAACTCTTTCCCGTGCTCTGAGAGTGGAAAAAATGTGGCATTTTGTGAATGTTCATAAGAGCAATTCAAAGCAGTATTTTTCCCAGGCAACAGTGAATGATAGATGTGAAAATGTTTTTTCAAAAAAAAATTCAAACTTTATTCTGATTTAGTTATCTGAAGTCATTGTTTGACATCTGAATTGAAAACAATTTTCACAAATGAAAAATATTGGCTATTCATTTTTCTGTGCTTGTAAGGCATGACATACATAAAAAATAGCAGCTAATTACATTTGTTTGTGTTTTATGTTAATGGATTAATCTTTTTTTTTGATGGGAGTAATGGATTGATCTTTACTAGAGATTATGATCTATACACCAGATAGAAAATTTAGCAGTTACTCATATAACGGAGGACAAAATCCTTGTCTTTTACTTAGTAAGAATTTATTTTTGCTGGACAGTTGCCTAACCTATTGACTTCTGGCTTAAGTAAGTTTAAAAATGTTTCACTACTTTTCTCCTTTTTTCTAAATTATGTTTGCTTAGACATATCTTGCTAAATTTTCCACTTGGTTATTTTTTGGCACTATGGAAATACTTCAGTATGAAAATATTCTGTATTCCTGTGTTTTGTAAGAGTTTAAACATAATCAACAACAAAGTGTCTTTTGTCATTATTATAAAATATGAAATGTTTTATGAGTCATAGTTCTTAGAGCTGAGTGAACCTCAGTGAGTCATTAGACCTAGTGCCCTGGAAGAAATGACTATCCCCATTGAATAAATAAGAAAACTGAAGTCCAGAAAAGCTTTCTGCTGTATCCATCACACAGCCAGTCAGCAGCCAGATTGGATCCTCTGTGTCTCTTACCTCTGAGTGAAATGTGCCTTTTTATTTTCTGGAGGTGACAGGCAGAGGAGGAGAGGGAAACTGAAACAACAACCCTGGGAAGGGAGATGGTAAGATTTCAAAGGAAAGCGTGACTGATTAGTAATCAAGAAACAGTAAGAGGAAAGGAAAGGAAAAAAAAACAAGGGCAGAGGAGGTGAGAGACATGAATTAGAACTGCATCGTTCCCAAGTAAATTCAAAATTCAGTTATATTAAGTTTTCATTGGTTTTGTCTTGTAGACTCCAGAGTGATTTGAGCCAAACCAGATTGTTTATTATCTTATTCTGAAGGGGCCAAAGTCAGCTTCTTGTGGCTGTGAGAGAGTAACAGGCAGGGAAGCTGGCCGAAGGTTTCACTTTTGACACCAATAATAGGGGTTTTCCAGCTTGTAGTACAGGAGGATATTACAGTAGAGGAACTGGGAGCTTTTAATCCTCTAGGGGTTACTGGTAATGTTTGTTAGGGTCTTCCTTTTCTTTGTCAGCAAAGTTACTCTCTTGGAAATATTCCCATAGTATTATTATATTAAGGAGAAAAGACATGCAGCAGACACTGGTTTTTCAAGTAAATCTTCAAAAGAGCTTTCACCCCAAAACCAGTTAAGAGTGTGGACTCGAGCTAGAATGTTTTGATTCAAATTCTGGCTTTGCCATTTACTACCTTTGTGACTTTGACTGATTTGCTTAACCTCTCTGTGCCTGGATTTCCTTACATGTAAAATGGAAATGATAGTACATACATCATAAAGTTATTGTAAGTTTCCAATGAGCTCTTATTTTTTCAGTGCTTGCATAAGTGCTAAGTGCCATATGAGAATTGTTGGCTCTCGTTATTACCATCACCTACTAATATTTTAAAAATTTATTCAATTACAGCTTATATTCAATATTATTTTGTATTAGTTTCAGGTGTACAGCATAATGGTTAGACAATCATATACTTTACTGAGTATTACCCTGATATTTCCAGTACCCATGTGGTATCATACATAGTTATAGTATTATTGACTATATTCCCTATGCTGTACTTTACATACCATCACTATTCTGTAATTACCAATCTGTACTTCTCAATCCCTTCACTATTTTCACCCAGTTCTCAAACCTCTCTCCCCTCAGATAAACCATCAGTCTGTTCTCTGTGTCTATGAGTCTGTTTCTGTTTTGATAGAGGAAGAATGAATGAGAAAATTCTCAATATAGAGGCCCTGGATAAAATTGCTCAGTTTGCATTTGTTTGACTTCATTCCACTCTACAAATAAACAAACAAATCAGTACTATTTTCTTTCCTCCTACTTTCTCTCATAAATATTTTTTTAGTTCATTTATGAGTATTTTAATTTAGGAGAAACTAGATTTTCATATTTTCTACTGTGCGTTATGTGAGCATATACACTACTTTTCATTTACTTTCCCAGCTCTACTCGAAGACAGTACTCAAACTTTTATTTTAGTTTTAATAATGTATTTTATTGAACATGATGTGTCCAAATGATAAATTTTACTATGTAATCAATTTATACATTATTTTACATAAACATTATAAATGAAATATTTTATATTATTTTGTTATACTGGGTTTTAAAAATCTGTTATGTACAGATTTTACATATAGCATATCTCAGTTTAGACTAGTCATCTTTATTTTATTTTATCTTTTTAACCAGGCACCCACATTTTATTATTTTTAGTTTATTTTTATTATTTACACTATTACAGATGTCCCCATTTCTCTTCCCCTTTGTTCACCTACCCCTGCCTTTGCCCTACCAAAGTTTTTACATTTATCTTCACCTATGATGTATTTTACTTGTTAGATGCTGGTTTTTTAATTGAGAAATAATTGATATATAACATTGTATTAATTTCAGGTGCATGGCATTATGATTTGATTGATATATGTATATATTGTGAAATCATTACCACAGTTAAATCTAGTTAACAGCTATCACCCTATGTAGTTAAACAGAAAAAATTTTTGATAAGAACTTCTAAGATCCACTCTCAGCAAGTTTCAGATATGTAGTACAGTATTATTAACTACAGTCACCATGCTGTATATTACATCTCCATGACTTATTTATTTTATAACTGAAGTTTATATTTTTGACTCCCTTCACCCATTTTGTCCACCCTAACTCCCCATCTCTGGCAACCAACAATCAGTTCTCTGTGGATACTTAGATATTAAATATTCATTACTCATTTACTCATTGGTTTGTAAAATACCTAAGAAAGACCTATAAAATACCTTACAAATATTTGTTTTCTTTAGGATCATTATTCTTATTATAGAAAAGGGAAATTGAGGAAAGAAGCTTTATATAGTTGTTTAAAATCAGAGTTAGAATAAATTAAAAACCAAAAGTTGAAATGTACAGATTACTTCCCTTATCTCATTTACTACTTCTTAGCAAATTATCAGCTCACTGGGCTATAGAGAAATAACTAGAGTTATCCTCAAGTTTTATTTACTGACACTACATATATATTTTTTCAGTCTGAGTACTGTTGAGTTTACATCTTTATTGGGAAACTTCGAGGAAATATGCACATTTCAACAGACACTCTGCCAAGCCTTGGAAGAATGTTCAAAGTAAGTGTCACATATTGCCATAAGGGTAGCCAGCAACATGTTTTTTCCCTTTTAACTGTTGTCTTAAATGAGGGTACTTTATATGTATGCATTTGATACAGCTTAGATAAATTGTCCCAGATCAGAGAGAATGCACCAGGTGGTGATACAGTGTGAAACCACTAGTTGTATTTTTTGCTTTATTTACAAATCGTATTGATTTACTGCTTCTACTCAGTATAAGAAACAAATAATGTCACAATTGACCATGGGTGATAACTTTGACATCAATTATATATTTTATATTGTACATTGTGAGTTACTTGGAAAAGTCACTCAGATTATTCATTCAGTTACACAAGTTTGTTTTTCTCCCTTAATTACTCCTGGTATCATGTCTATTATGTTAACAGTAGAAAGACATTAAAAGTGGGGAAAGGAAAAGTGTATCTTTATGTAAACACAAACAAGTATTTGATGGCTAGCTAGATTGTTGAGTTGTTCAACTTCATACTACAGAATGAACTGTAATTATCGTCAGACAGTATATTTCTGTAGCAAGATTAATTGTCCAAGCAATGTATTTCTGAGAAGTTGCTGACTTTAATCATCTATAGAGAAATTGGGGTTATTTCCCTGTTTCTTCAGTTTTATGGGACGCAGATGGTTGTCCAAGGGAGAATATGATAAGAGCCCACACTAAAGAGACCTGAGCAGCCACTCCAAATGCTAACAATGATCCAGATTATTCATATGGAAAGATAGTCAATAAATGAGAAGAGCAGATTACAAACTAGATTTGTGATCCTTATTTTCCATCTTATAGAGAAACATGTAGAAGAAAGTCCAATGAATATGACAAAATTGTTAGAGTAGATATCTCTGAATGGTGAAGTTCTGGTGTAATTTTTTTCTTTTTTTGTGTTTTTCTGATTTTTCTATAAATGAAAACAGGTGGCTTATAATTTAAAAAACTAATTTTAAAAATCATGAGGCCACCCTGCCTAGCAACCACCAGGATACCAACTTAGAACTTTTTAAATTTGATTAGTTTGTCTGTACCTGAACTTCACCTAAATTAGCCCAGAGTATTTTTAACATTCACAGCTAAAAAATTGAATATTAAAATTTGAACAAGCATTTTAGAAGAAAACCCTACCTACTGATTACATATAAGTAATATCTCACCCTATGTATTGGCCTACATTTAGTGGCAAAGTTAAAGCAAAAAAGAACTTGCATTTAATGTATAAAATGGTTGTAATATAGTTTCTCTTTTAACTTAGGCAGAAGAATTTGAAAGGTTAGCATGTTCTTAGGTTTAATTAGAATTCTCTTTTCCTGTTTCCTATTTTACATTCTATGTCTCACCTATTTTGCCTACAGATTTCCAGAAAACCAGCACAAAGTAGGAGGTTGTCTACTGAACCTCATGCCTCATTTTAAATCCATGTATCTGGCTTACTGTGCGAATCATCCTTCAGCTGTAAATGTACTCACCCAACACAGGTAAACTGTTAACATTTCCCCAAAATAAACTGTTTTATAATGAGATCCTTTCTTAGGACCACATCATTTGGAAGTCCAAGGTCTCTAGTCCAACTCTTAATTATTGCCATTCATTATGCCATAAATTGATTCATTGTTACATACATTGATTGACTACTAATGCAACAAATAATTTACTGAGTACCTAATATGTACAAGGTCCTGTACTGGCTGATGGGCATATAGTAGTGAACAAGGAAGAGAAGTTCCCTGCCTTTATGAAGCATAGAATCTTAATTTTACAGGCATAAAATTAAACAATGTAAACATGTTGTATACAAAAGGGTAATTAAAAAGGATGCTGTGAGACTTTGCAATACAGTATCATCTTAGTGTGGGGTGAGAGAAGGATTAAGGAAGGCATTTCTGAAGATCCAATAGTTTAGCTGTCCCCTGTCCCAATGAATGTTTTATCTGAGATGCTGACAAGTAGCTAAACTGTCTAGGTTCATCCCTTTTTCCTTTCTTTTTTAAATTATTATTTATTTTATTTTATTGTTCAAGTATAATTGTCTCCATTTTCACCCCACCACTCCCCCTGGCCCCAGCCATCCCTACCCACCCTTGATCCTACCCTGCTTTGGTTTTGTTCATGTGTCCTTTATAGTTGCTCCTGAAATCCTTTCTCCTCCCCCCCATTACCCCCTTCTACCTCCCCTGTGGTTACTTTCAGATTGTTCTTAATTTCAATTGCTTATTTCAATTTTCCTTTTTCTGGTAAGAAGTCTCAGACTGTTATGGCTAAAAGGCAGCTATTAACATATAAAGGTGGATGGAAACTAACATGGTAAACTGTGTAGCAGATACTTTAAGCAAAGGATTCATAATAATTATACATTGAATATAAATTGTTTCTGATTCATGAAAAACAACAGAATAGTTTCCAGTAAGAGTCCTTGCAAGAGGCTAGGATAAATCTACTTTCTGATTACCTGTCTCTGACTCATTCACAAAGACATTTATCTGGGCCAGAACACTGTATGATAGGCTTAGAGATGCAGTTTTAACTTTGAAATCATGTGCTAGAAATTCAGGTGGGATAATAACAAGAATAATACACACAGGCTCATAGGACTTAACCTAAATTTGTGTCCATTCATAATGGACACAAATTCTGGAGGCTGTTCAAGAATGAAAAGTATAGTCTTCCCTTAATCTGGCCCAGACTTCAACTTCCAGAGCCAGGCTAGAACACTGGTTGGTACCAACCCGAAGAAGTAGCAGAATTTTTTTTCCTGATTTGTTATGAGCTCTATTGACTTTATAGAGTTATTTTATGAGGACATCTTAAATGTAGAACACTAAGTCCTACTGAGTCCTATTTTATTCTCCTGATCAAAGTTGTGAATTCTTATGGAATAGTAAATATGGAAGTTGAGTTAAAAGAAAAAGAAGCCATGACTTTGGATTATTTAGGTGGCTCAATTGCTTAAAGCTCACACTGTGCCAGGCATATGCTTTAAAAGCCTATGAGGGAGTTACACCTCTGCTTTACAGCTAAGACATTGAAAGTTCAAGTAATCTGCCCAACAACTCAGAGCCATTAAGTGGTTAAGCCAGAATTAGAATCCAGATCTGCCAGACTTCTAAAAATATTTGTATTGATATTTTCACTACAAAGAGAATAACATAAATGCAGATTTAAAGAATTACAACAAAATGAACACCCATGTACATGCCACCCTACTTAAGATATAAAACATTACCATTTCCTTTTTGTATAACAGCTTAATTGAGTTAAAATTCACACATGAAACCTTTTTAAAGTGTTTTGCTGAATTATTTTCAGTATATTCAGACTTGTACAACCATCACAACAATCAGTTTTAGAATATTTTTATCATTTTCCAAAGAAGCCCATATATATTAGCAGCTACTCCCTATTGCCAGCCCAAGTCATCCACTAAAATACTTTTTGCTCTGGATTTGCTATTCTGGACATTTCATTTAAGTGAAATCACACAACATATGGCATTTTGTGTTTACCTTATTTCACTTAGCACAATGTTTTCAAGGTTATTCTGTGTTGTAGCACTTATCAGTACATTGTTTAAAAAAATAATATAGCCCTGACCAATGTGGCTCAGTTGGTTGGGCATCATCCCACAAAAAGAAAGGTCACTGGTTTGATTCCTGGTCAGGTAACATGACTGGGTTGTTGGTTTGGTCCCTGGTCAGGGCACATACAAGAGGCAACTGATATTTCTCTCTCATGTTGATGTTTCTCTCCCTCCCTGTAGATGTTTCTCTATCCCTTCCCCTCTCTCTAAAAGTAAATAAATAAAATCTTAAAAAATTTTAATATAGCTAATCCAGCTAGCTTTTGATTATTGTTGATATGATATATCTGTTTTCATCCCTTTTAATCTATCTGTGTCTTATAGACAACATACATCTGAGTCTTGTTTTGTTGAATATACTCTTAAAGTCTCCATCTCTTAATTGGCATATTTAGACTATTTATATTTAAAGTAATTATTTATGTACTTGGATTAACATTTACCATATTTGTAAATGTTTCCTATTCATTACACTTGTTATTTGTTTCTTTATCACACCATCTTTTGCTGCCTTCTTTGGTTTTAGTTAAACATTTTTTAAAGGTGTCTTTTATTTATTTATTTTTAAAATACTTTATTTATTTCAAGACAGGGAGAAAGTGAAGGAGAGAAACATCAATGTGTGCTTGTCACTCGTGCACCCCCTACTGGGGACTTGGCCTGCAATTCAGGCATGTGCTCCAACTGGGAATCAAACTAGTGACCCTTTGGTTCACCGGCCAGCACTCAGTCTACTGAGCCACAGACAGCCAGGGCTAAACATTGTATATGATTTTATTTTTTCTTCTCTTATAGCATATTTTTCTTCTTCTAAAAAAATTGGTGTTTTCCCTAGAGCTTATGACATCCATTTACTACTAATCTATAACACTTTCACGTAACACTCTACCATTTTATAGGTAGTCCACATACCTTATAAGACAGTAGTGTCAATTCTTCTTCCTCATCCCTTATAACAGTGTTCTCATTTATTTCATTTATCCACAAGGTAAATCACCCAATATATTGTTGTTATTGTTATTTTGAACAGTTATCTATTAGACCCATTAAAAATAAGAAAAATAAAAGATTGTATTTTACTTGAATTTATTATTCTCTGACACTCTCCCTTTTTTGTGTAGATCTATGTTTTCTTCTCTCTGAAGGACTCAACAATTTTTGTGTAGGTGGTCTATTGGCAATAATTTCTTTTCCCTAAGTTTTTGTTTATCTTAGAAAGTTTTATTTCTCCTCTACTTCTTTTTTCCCTTTTAATTTTACTGTGGTAAACAAATAAAAACATATGACATGAGATTTATCCTTACAAATTAAGAATTAATTTACACTTAACAAATTAAGTGTATAGTATCTTAAAACTATAAGCACATTTTTGTACAGCAGATGTCTAGAACTGTTTCATATTTTTTATCATTGAAACTTTATATTTATTGAACAGTACCCCCCAATTTTCCTTTTATTCCAGCCCCTGCCAACCACCATTTACTTTCTGCATCTATGAGTTTCATTATGTTAGATACCACATATAAATGGAATCATGTAGTATTTATTCTTTTGTGGCTGGCTTATTTCACTTAGCATAATGTCCTCAAAGTTCATCCATGTTGTCACATATAACAGTATTTCCTTCTCTTTAAAGGCTAAATAATATTATGTTGTATTCATACACCACATTTCCCCCATCCATTCATCCATCAGTGGACACTTAAGTTGTTTTTACAACTTGACTATTGTGAATAATGCTGCAACAATCATAGGAATGCAAATACCTTTTGAAGATCCTGGTTTTAACACTTTTGTGAAAATACCCAGAAGTGAGATTGCTGGATCATATGGTAATACTATTTTTAATGTTTTGAGAAACCTCTATAATATTTCTATAAATAGTACCTGCACCATTGTACGTTCCCACCAACAGTGCACTAAGGTTCCAATTTTTCTACATCTTTGCTTTTATTTCATGTTTTTTAAAAAAAATAATGGCCACCCTTTCTTTTCAAATGCACATGGAACATTTTCAAAGATAGACCACATGATAGGACACAAAACAAGCCTCAACAAATTCAAGAAAATTGAAATTATATCAAGCATTTTCTCAACCACAAGGGACTGAAACTATATGCCAAACTCAAGGAAAAGAATGCAAAACACTCAAACTCATGGAGATTGAATACCATGATATTAAACAATGAATGGCTCAAGAATGAGATTAGGGAAGAAATCAAAAAGTTTCTGGAAACAAATGAAAATGAACTCACAACAGTTCAAAATTTATGGGACACAGTGAAGGCAGTCCTGAGAGGGAAGTTCATAGTGATACAGATCTACCTAAAAAAGATAGAAACATTTCAAATAAATAACCTAACCCGACATCTACAGGAACTGGAGGAACAACAACAAAGACAGCCCAGAGCAAGTAGAAGGAAGGAAATAAACAAGATCAGAGCATAATTAAATGACACAGAGGCTAAAGGCACAATTATAAGGATCAATAAATCCAGGAGCTGGTTCTTTGAAAAGATAAACAAAATTGACAAGCCTCTAAGCAGGCTCATCAAGAAAAAAAGAGAGAGGACCCAAATAAACACAATCAGAAAAGAAAAAGATATTACAACTGATACCACAGAAATACAAATAATTGTAAGAAATTGCCATGAAGAACTATATGCCAAGAAATTTTTTAATTGGACAAATTTCTAGAAAAATATAATTTTCTAAAACTCAATGAAGAAGAAGCAGAAAGCCTGAACAGACAAATAACAGCAGATGAAATTGAAGCAGTAATCAAAAAGCTTTTGACATACAAAACCTTGGACCAGATGGTTTCACAGGAGAATTCTACAAAGCATTTAAGGGAGCACTAACCCCATTCCTTCACAGATTATTCCAAAAAATTCAAGAAGG